AGAATCGCTTTCAGGAGTGCAAGGACCGCTACGTAAATCCTCAAGTCTGCAAAGGTTACGCAGAGCGCGGCTGGTGTACCTCAGACGATCCAGGAAGGCTCGGCCTTGCGAAGGCGAACTGCGCAAAGACATGTAACCTTTGCAGCTCCACCCAAGAGCCCGCCCCCATTCAAGGTGCAGGAGAATCTGGAGAGGTGTGTTGACTCCAAAATGTGACCGAGCGATACTAACCTTACTTTTGATATAAAAAGAATCGCTTTCAGGAGTGCAAGGACCGCTACGTAAATCCTCAAGTCTGCAAAGGTTACGCAGAGCGCGGCTGGTGTACCTCAGACGATCCAGGAAGGCTCGGCCTTGCGAAGGCGAACTGCGCAAAGACATGTAACCTTTGCAGCTCCACCCAAGAGCCCGCCCCCATTCAAGGTGCAGGAGAATCTGGAGAGGTGTGTTGACTCCAAAATGTGACCGAGCGATACTAACCTTACTTTTGATATAAAAGAATCGCTTTCAGGAGTGCAAGGACCGCTACGTAAATCCTCAAGTCTGCAAAGGTTACGCAGAGCGCGGCTGGTGTACCTCAGACGATCCAGGAAGGCTCGGCCTTGCGAAGGCGAACTGCGCAAAGACATGTAACCTTTGCAGCTCCACCCAAGAGCCCGCCCCCATTCAAGGTGCAGGAGAATCTGGAGAGGTGTGTTGACTCCAAAATGTGACCGAGCGATACTAACCTTACTTTTGATATAAAAGAATCGCTTTCAGGAGTGCAAGGACCGCTACGTAAATCCTCAAGTCTGCAAAGGTTACGCAGAGCGCGGCTGGTGTACCTCAGACGATCCAGGAAGGCTCGGCCTTGCGAAGGCGAACTGCGCAAAGACATGCAATCTCTGTCTGTCATAAGTGATTTGCACGAGTTTCACAGAATGCTCCTTGCATTAAAATATTATGACAGCAACACCTTTTTTGGAACCTCCAGCAATATTGGGGTCGCGAATCCAACAAGTAAATTTCTACAACAAATAAGGAAAAAAGTGGTGGCAAGACGAATCCCTGCAGTAACTCTCATCATTGCAAGTCAAGTGCATCATGTACTGACCGTGAGATTTGGCAGAGTTTCTCACTTCTAATGCGCATGCTGGATTTCGAAATGGTTGCTTCTTGATTTTTTTCTGATGGCCTTTTTTACTTGCTCGAAACAATTTTTTAGCTTCATGCGCCACCGACTGGATAATGAACCGTGAAACTTGGCAAAGTTTCTTACTTATAATGCTCATGTTTGATTTTGAAATGGTGATTGCTTCTTGATTTTTACCTGATGGTCTTTTTTACTTGCTAGGAGCAATTTTTGAGCTTCATGCGCCACCGACTGGATTTATCTCGGTACCTGCTTATTATGAGGGAGGATGACTATAGCGTTTATGCAACTGCGAAGTGAAGCACACTCAAGTGTGATTTTTCCCAGAATGTTGACTTATCACGGCAGGCAACCGATCACTATGATTGTGACCACGTGTTTGTTCCTTTGATCTTCTGTACTACAAGAGCAAGCTGATGTGGAAGCTTCAGCTAGATAACAAGTATTCAAAATCTTGCAAAGGAAAGATGATCGAATTTACGTGGCATCAAAAATCATACAATGATTCAAGAGACTAAAATCTTTATAAAAGGGCGATGAACACTTGCTAGATAGCCATGAATAAGCAGCGGAAAAAACAAACCGAAGTCTGTAATGGAATGACGGAAAGCCCCAAAGACCGAGACATGCCCCTGGAATTCACATCTTCTTGATAAGGAAGGAAGTCAATGCGGTCTAGTCATAAACACCTCAAAAACGAAGGTCATGCGGAACCGATTTTCAGACAGCGCCACCTGTTCTTTGAGAGGAAGTCCAATCGAAGACGTTGAGGAGTACGTATACCTCGGTAGCCAGCTAAACATGAATGAATGACTTGACTGGAGAGCTACTCAGACGTCGCAAGGCTGGATGGTCTGCTTTAAGTTCCATAAGAAGCGTTGCGAAGATACTAAAGATCGCAATTTACGAGCGGAACTCTTCAATTCAACGGTACTACCTGCCCTCAGTTATGCAGGAGAGACCTGGGCTCTGACGAAATCGATAGAAAGGCAATTGAAGTCCACTCAAGCATCAATCGAGCGTCGTCTTGTGGGCCTAACGTTGAGTCGACAGCGAGAATTACAGCTCCATAACTCTGATGTCAGAGCTATGTCAAGGGTCAAAGACGTCCTCCTCCACATCGATGAAGCGAAGCACAGATTTGCTGGGCTTGATGAGAAATGACGGACGATGGAGCACTACTACTGCACAGTGGTACCCGCGTGAAAAGAAACGACCGCCTGGCCGTCTTCCTGTACGTTGGGCAGACTCTCTGGCATATCGTTACAACGTACACTCCGTTTCATGCAGCCAGAAATCCACGTGGCACACGTGGCTAAATTCTCGATGAAAAGGTGACGTCACGTGTGCTCAAAGATGTTCTTGAATCGATGCCACGTTAATGCCACGTCAATTTCTGCAATTGCACAATTTCTGGTTATTTGAAGGCGAGGGTATATGATCCTGTATCCCTTAAGGTGATCATTCACTGGACAACTAAGGCTCAAGAACGAGAACAATGGATTGGCAAGGCCAATCGCCATGCCGATGGACGGGTCGCCTAAGTATCCTAAGTAAGTATCCCAACAATAAGCCATTGTTGGGCTTCAAGAGCAGGATGGCCCAACTGGCTTCCGCACATAACCGGCTAACCTGGACCGAAGGCGAGAGGTAAAATTTGTGCTAAGCGACAACTGATATTTCTGCCTTTCTGAGAATGATGTTGTGAGCCCTGTCAAGTGTTCTGTAAATGGAAACCTCATTTCGAGTATTAAACTCTCATAGACAGAAAGGGTGGAAGTATGGTCATGCGTTGATCATGAGTGACGATGTGTCCGACCATTCGGCGTCCCCAGTTCTTCGAACCAGAGAACTGTGGACAGGGGTAATTACAAGGCTGGTCTGAGCTATACAATGCCCCTCTTTGAAATCAGAACTAGCCAATAAATATGGGTTCTTTATGCAACGTTGATCCGATGCGGGCCTACCTCCTTACGGCCGCCTTCCTTAAACCAAGAAAAAAAAGCTGTTGAGATAAGACCAAGTGAGGATCTGATTGCTAACTGAGTTCTGCACCCCCGAAAAAAAGCTAACACATCATACAATCCACATTCCAGTAAGGATTCCTGCCAAACAATTTGATTTACCTCACAAAGTGTAGGCTCACTTAAAAATCCCAAAATGATGTTCAAATCAATTCAATATCGTTAAAACGATGCTAGCATAGAACTTCGGAGCTACGCAGCAAATTGCTAATTCTTCATGCAGATTTAAGAATTTGTTCTGAATTCAATTTAGAATTGGAGAGTTTCCAAACTTTTGACGCGCCGCATCTTATAATCCAATTTCCCAATTTCAATGTTCTTCTTTCAAAAGTGAAATATCACGTCACTGATTGCTCTTGATTGATTGATCTGCACTTGATTTTCTATATAATAAGTGAATTCCGGAGTATTTCGTTGTCTACTGGCTACGCTAGATCAAAAATAAAAAAGTTGTCCAAACTTTTGACCACTACTGTAGGTGAGCCTGTATACATTAGCGCCTCTCGTTTTCAGAATACCCTAACACTGGAAATCTTTTACTTGTTGTTCAGTGACCCGATTTAGAGGTAATAGTATTAGCTCAACTATGCAAACCATATTGCTGAGCTAGCCCTGGGCGCACGTGCTCAATCGCCCAGTAAGCCCAATCGCACTCAGATGCCAACGCTCAGATGCAATGCGCTGCGCACTGCCCTTTAGGCCCTTCAGGTGCCACTGTTCGCATACTATGACCGCGGGATGCAGTCGCCGGCCGCGCTGTCTTCCTAGCCGCCAGGTAGCTTGTGAATAGGGGTGCAACCCCTTTGCAGCTGAGGTCCCATGGGTATGAATAGGTTCCGTGTTGGCCCCGAGTAGCCGGAGGCATCGATCTTCACGAGGAAACGCGGGCAGGCCGGCGAAAATGAGATGAAACGTCTACTCCGGAACTTTTTTTAGCTCCGCCGTGTAGCCATCACGTCACGCCAGCAAACTATCTCCTTTTCTGCTCCCTAGCCTTCTCCTTGGGAAGAAGCTTCACGATGAGAGGTGCGATCTCACTACCGACAGCGGATATTTCGTCAATCAGAAGAACTTCATGGAATTCCACAAGGAAGGCATGCGATCAATTCTCCATGCAGGCAACAATTTGTGGATAGCGGTGGTGCAGGCTTGAGTTGGTAAGCTCAGCGAATTAATAATAAAAAATTAAAATTGAAAAATAGCCGAGGTGATTAATTGATGACCAATATTTATGGTCAACGCTTGATGCTAGAAACTCACCCAATTTTTGAAAAATGCGCTCAAAAAACTTCTATATCTTTCTTCATCATTTTATGCGCAAGTGCAAGCAACTGAATCGTGCTCCTTGTTCAACACTGCGCCCCTACAAAATACAGTAGACTATTTGACAGCCTGAAGTCATTTACATAGAACCAATGATGATGTTTCTGAATCCAATACTCCGACAATTATTTCATTCTCAACACAACGCACAAGTCTAGTCATGAACAAAGATACAGTACCATAGGTACACGAGTATTCATGTGAAAAGGATATATATATATGTAGAAAGAATAAGATTGGATGAGAAAGTGAAAGACCGAATAAACCACTGTTTTACAAGCTCGGCTTACATCTTTAATCTTGCGATAAACGTGGGTAAAAAAAGATGTTGATAGCGATGTCAATACATCTACCTCGCTGATATGCTTGTGATACTGTCAATCGACCCGTACAAATGAACTCCGGCAAACACTGTGAAGAAAGTGCTGCAGATGATCCAATGTCACACGAATATTTGAAGCTGGAAACTTCGTTCAGTGTGTGAGAAAAGGAGAAGAGAAAACGCATTAGATTTGGTACACCTATGAACCCGTACTCTTTGAAGAGTCAACCACGTAAACGGTTCGTGTTTGCGATAGCGGCAGCGATCCACCTCCGTTCTGAAATTGAATTATGAAAATTTGAATCTAAGTGGCTATAACATTTACAGCAGAAATAAATGCTCACGTTATCCAGCTCAGTTGCATCATGTTCAACAGGAATGTAGGTCTTTAGAGCGACAAATAGACAGAGGAAGCAAATCACTTTCGTTATAATAGCTGAAAGCATTAAGAAGTCCTATATGATTGATAGTTAAAACGTATTAGGTCGTGAAGAAAGTTCTTGCGCCTTTTGGTGTTTCATTTATGAGGGCTTTATTTTGTTTTAACTTTAAGCAAGCTGCCACGTGCCATATATCATTTTGAAGAGCTTTTCCTGGACTATCTTAGAGTGGGGTCAGCTTTGCTCTATATGTATTATTTCATTAACACTTTTTGAAGCCTTGAATACGTCACACTCGTGAAGCAGATTTGCGTGATTTCCTTTTCTAGCTCAAAAAGGCCTCTAAGGAGCTGGAGCAGGTCAAGATATTATAGATGCACTTGGCTGAGATTCGCAATAAATATGGTCTGAAGCAATTGTTCAAAAAGCTTTTGTAAGAATAGCGAGAGCCCTAAAGATTAATGAGGGTGGTGGTCGGATATGGACAATGCCAAAGCTTAGCGGAAGTTCTGGTTGAAGCACACTTACACAGAACTATTGAGAAGCCTCCTGCATCGATCGCAATTGCTCTGTGGCTTCCTATCACACTAAAAGGGCTAGAAAGACCAAAAGATTCTATTAGAATTCCGCGACAACTCACCATTTTGAAGGGTCGTCCTCTAGCTTGTTTTATGTAATGAAGACAACATGCTTTTCACTCACTTGCGACATGCGATGAAGAAGCAGATTCTTTGCTACAGCATACGAACTTCTGCTGAATGGATCGACCGCGATCAGGCTCTACAAACTTTGCAAAACTGAAACTTCACTGAAGGAAGGTTGAGGTGACTTTCATAAGGTCAGCGGCTGGTCTAGCTCTTCGGAACCAGGTGGAACTGTTAATGTGGAAAGTACTCTTGATAATGTGTCAAAATAATCCTAGAATTCTAGCACATATGCTCGAAATTCCTCATTATAAAGGAACCGGCTCGTCCCTGACAGGTAGCTCGGACGCACATTCCACAACCAACCCTGCAGAAGTTGACAAGATTGGCTACGAATTAGTCCTGCGAACATCCTACTCGGTAGACCTTTGCCTATAATTTGTCACTTTCTCGACTACCTGGATAGCTTCTCCAAAGAGTTATGCTTCAAAAACCAACATGATGCGGAAACGACCTCCGCCGGGTTCATCGTCTCTAGAGCTCCAGTATTCTGCACTACCGGGCTGATTCAACGCAGCTGTTATTGGCAGAGGTTTGTGGATTCTAACAGTCTTTACTCCAATCAAAAAGGTTTCGAATGAGCCGAGATACAGGCATTTGAAAATCAAGGTCGAAAAGCGCAAGAACTTTCTTCACGACCTAGAATATTAGCGCAATGTCAGCGCTCTCAGTAGGGAGTGTGCGTTATCGAATAATGTTCAACTCTCGTCTGTATTCAACTCAATTGTTTCTGTTACAATGTTTTTTTAGAATCAAAAATTATCAAAGAGAATAACTCAGTTGAACAAAAAGCGCACTTTTCTCGGAAATGAAAGCAAAATTATCTACTTATTAAATTTCGAACTTTATCATTTATTTTATTCTATTAATTTTTTTGAACTTCGATTCAGAAGTTCAGAAAGGTACTGTAAGTGATAAAAATTCTTGAAAATTGGAATTGCTTTTTAGTGGCGTTCGTTTGGAGACAGCTCCCTAGATATGCGCTATGGACAGTTGAAGGACGAAATGGCTTATGGTGCATCGGCAAGAAAAAAAAACAAGAGGAATGGCCAAAAAACAGGAGAAACACGACCATTATAATCACCCGTTGTTTCGGGAACAGAGTTCACCGCTAACACAGAATTCGTTCGGCTGAAGTTGAGTATCGTTCGATGCCCTTGTCCAAGTGCAACAGCGCACTTGCGTAAGAAATTCCAACGATGACGGTAGCGTTTTCATTATTACTTTCTCGTTATGGCCCCTTCCACGTGCTGAGGATACACGTGTCTGGCCAGGAAGTGCTTTGAAGTTCCCATGGAACTTTGGAAGGAATGTATCGATAGAGTCTTGAACGCTGATTACAAATATGGACACTAAAACTGCTACGTGAACTTCCTAAGAAAGTTATGAGCCTTCAAAGTTGGCAAAAAACGTTACTGAGGCGAGCTTACCTGGTGGAATCACAGTCGCCGTGGCTCTGCGCCAAAACGAGTCTCATATTCGTAATCAGGGCACCCATTTACCCTTATAGAACAAGTTCCAGGCAAAAAGCAACCGTGTTTCCACATAGGTTGCACCTCATCATTAGCGTTCTTTTGCAACTTTTAAGGCTCACAACTTTCTTACAAAGTTCACGTAGCAGTTTTAGTGTCCATATTTGTAATCAGCGTCCAAGACTCTATCGATGTACCTAGGTCTCCTTTCAAAGTTCCATGGGAATTTCAAAACATTCCCTGGTGAGGGCCGAAAGGGGATTCGAGGCGCATTCGGCGCCTGCTCATGCCGTTGATGGCGAAAGGACCACCTGTCGCCCAATTAGACAATCCTCTACCAACATCACTACGCACCTTCCCCTCGTATGAGCACTCCTTCATGGCGATTTTTGTCTTTTAATTGGTTCTCTAAGGGATCAGTTCTGGCACCTGTACTATGTTAAATTTATTATTAGGTTGGAAATACTCACTGAATATGAATATGTAGTGGCCAAGGTTTTCAGCATTGTAAAGAACACATTTCATAGATCCATCACAGCTGGTGCTCCAATGCATACATGTTGTGTCTATGACAGCGCCGAAGAGTACTGCACCAGGAATGGAACCTAAAAGAGATTCCACCATCATGGAAGTCTATCAAATCCCTTGCTGTTATTAACGATAGGTGCTTCAGAATGTAACTGACCAAATACCCTCATGAACATCCACCCGAAGCAGATGAAAGCGTCTCGGTGATCGAATGAAACAACCCTGAAAGACAAATACAGCTGAGATGAGAGAAATAATAAAAAATTAGAGTGCATGGCACCTCATTTTAGTGAAAGCGTTTCGCTCATAACATTAGTCTCGGATTTCATGCCCATGAAAGAGTTCATAAGTTGGAGGACCTGTCTCTGTCTCTATATGCACTTTGTTTCCCGTAATAGAGCATCGCTAACGCAGACTTAGCGACACATGTGACACCAGATAGATTACCCTTTGTCTCTGAGAGCATTCACACATGTACACTATTACGGCAGCTCCGCTTTCTTTATTTCCCTTGCAAGGGGTTAAGTTAGCACTACCCAAAGCGTGTGCTTTCCTATCTACGCTCTCACCCTCTGGTTGACAGAAGCCTTGTAACCAGGGTCAACCGTCCGTTCGAACTGTTCGAACGAAGGGGTCGCATTTTGGTCGGAAGGGGGTCGCAATTTCGAGGACTGCCAGCCACAGGCGCGTGCGTGGCGTATCCGAGGGCAAGATTGTTTGTGCAGACCGCATTAGATTCGATTAATTATGCACAGAGAGACAGTTTTAGGCAAATTACGGTGTTTTCCTTGAGAATAAAGAACAGTTGAATGCATCCCTATGAAAGGTTTGACTTCTCGGGGCTGAAATTGAAGTTCTTCGGGGACCTACTTTTCTGAGGACGGTTCTTCCAGACAATGGTGAAACAAATAAGAAAGAAGAAACCTCGTCGTCTTCAAAAATGTCTTCGCCTCTTTCCAACATGCTCTTTGAAGGAAGTTATTATTGCTGAAAGCTCGAAAACTCGCATGTGCTGCTCAAAAACCTATGGGATCCAAATGTTCGAACGTGTGATTTTCTCGAAAAAAACTTTGAAAAACGGTTTAGGGCTTGTTAGAAAGAGCAAATCCTGCTCTTTCACCCCATGGAAAGTGTGCATCACAGAAATGAAAATGAAGTGAGTTATGCCCGCTGAAAGCCCAAAAACTCGCGATTTCAAAAAAAGTGTTCGAACGGGGCGATTTTTGAAAAAGAGGACAATCGTCAAACTTTCTATATTATGCTACGCCTTCAGAACTTTTTACAGATTTCCAAAATGTCGCATACGAAAGTTGGGATCCTTCAAAGTTGAAGGTGCGCCTTCTTAGAATTTTGGGTTTTCCACTTCTACAGAAGTACTTTCCGGAGAGTTAGGCAATCCTTGTAGTTTTCTGGAAGCGCACCTCAGGCACAATCAAAATCTACCTCAACAAGTCAAAAAATATGGTCCTGTGAAAACTTCGGGACAAGACGACTTTCATCACTGTGCTCTGCCGGACACATAGACTCGAGATAATTCATATCAGGGGTTCAAAGAGAACCTCAGCGATACTGTACAGAAAGCAACTGACAGAGAAATTCGGAATAAGACGAGTAGTTATGACATTTTTATTCAACCATGTCGATTCACATAAGTCTTCACGAATTATCCTGGTACCACAAAAGAAGTTACACGGATCCTAATAGGGTGTGTGATCACCACGGACAGCAATGCATGCTCTGCAACGCGATCCCATACTCTCCACGAGGTTGGTAATGAGTTCCTGGGGCAGGGCATTCCACTCCTCAATCAGTGCATTTGACAATTGCTGGATCGTCATTGGTGCAGTTGGTCGTGCTGCAATGCGTCTACCCAGTGCATCCCACACGTGCTCGATGGGATTTAGGTCGGGGGAACGGGCGGGCCACTCCATTCGCCGGATATCCTCTCGTTCTAGAAGCTCCTCCACCTGTGCTGTTCGATGCGGTCGCGCATTGTCATCCATGAAAATGAAGTCAGGGCCGATTGCAGCTCTGAAAAGACGGACATGATGTAGGAGAACCTCGTCGCAGTAACGCTGACTGGTGAGGGTTCCATGCTCAAAAATCTGGAGGTCAGTACGGCCATGCGACATGATGCCTCCCCATACCATACACCTCGACCACCAGAACGATCACGTTCGACAATGTTTCCGGGGGAGTTGCGTGTTCCCACCTCTCGCCATATGAGGGTGCGTCCAGAATCACTGCTCAGACTGAACCTGCTCTCATCCGAAAAGAGCACACGGCTCCATTCCTCATCGGTCCATTCGCCATGCTCTGGCACCACCGTAAACGGTCTCGCCGATGCGCGGGGGTCAAAGGAACACAACGTAGCGGTCGTCGGGCGAAGAGACCACCCCATGCAGTCGTCTTGCCACTGTAGTGCGTGAGATGGCTCGCCCTAGAGTCCTGTTAAACGGTCGTCGCAATAGCCGAAGCCGACTGACGAGGATCTCTTCTTGCCTGCTGCACAATGTAGCGGTCGTCCCTTGGTGTAGTTGTCCTTGGTCGGCCACCTCCTCGTCTTCGGGCAGCAGTACCAGAGGTTCGGAACGCTCTCCATGCACGTGAAACAACGCTGTGAGCGATACCGAACTCCTGGGCTACACTCCTCATGGTTCGACCTTCTTCGAGTTTCCCTATGATCCTTCCTCGAGTGAAGTCATCCAGATGCTCTCTTCGGGACATGATGTATCGAAGGATACTACCACAGTTCTTTGCAGCTACTCGTTGATTGAGAAAATTTTTTTTCATACCCATCAACAGCCTCGATTTGCGTGGGTGCCCTTATTTCGCGCCTTATTTGAAGTCATATCCCACGGAGGAAGGTCCAGCTTCCTGTGCATAACCACTAGACGACTGGCAATATGCTCCCACACTTTCATTTACTTCCACCCACTCATTGGTGTTTTATGTTACTTTATCCATCTGGTCCCTAAGTTTTGCACACCAGTGTATCGTTAAGAAAGTTATTCCCTCTAAAATTTTTTCTTCGCCGCGTCCCGTTCTTCCAGCGCCCGGGTGATACCTGCCGCGCTCCAAGGCCGACGCGACGACGCGCAGACGCTTTCTGGCGCAACGGATTCATGTCTAGCACTCTTATTAACAAAAACAGGGGGTCGCAACTGGACCCCCTCGAGAGCTAGGGGGTCGCAAAAATCCCGAAAATGTTCGAACGTGACGGTTGACCCTGGCTTGTAACCCCGGCGGCCAGGTGCGCGCTGAGTGCAGACCCCACAACGCAAGTGATGGCGACCTCTCAAAAGGTAGTTGTTTTCTGCTGATTAATGATTGATCGGTTGCTGTTGCACTCTATCACTTGTCACTAATTACAGCTATCATTTACCAACTACAGCTATCACTGTGAACCACTAGTTAACAGATTTACTTGGAGGCCGTCGTCACTTGTGGTGTGTGGTCTGCAATCGACGCCCACTTCTCCGCCGGAGACAAAGGGTTAAGAATATATAAGAGTACAACATGATACATAAATTCGTCAGCGACTTTGCTAAAATTCGTCGTCTACACTGAACAGGTGAATGAAAAATTGAAAGCAAGAAGGACAATATAGACGAGAAACTTGGCATATTGTTTTCAAATGTGTAAAATCTTATGAAGTTGCACACACGCCTAATACCCTACTTCATCTATTTTACGTGAGCCGAGAAACGTTATTATTAACCCTATTCTTTTTTTTTCGTGGATTTCGTCATAACAATGAGCATTCTATACCCAAATAGGGTACATGAAACGCTACCAGGTGTTGTAAAGCATTTTGCTGACATTTATTACGTGCCATTTGAAATATGGAATATTCCCTACCTCATAGCGGCACTCTGGATCATTGGAGCTAGAGCAAACACACTGACTGCCAACATAGCAAACAAAGTGAAAAATAGAATCTAAATAGGTGACCGTCAAAGCGCTCCATAGCCAATAAATGAGAAAAAGGAGGAAAGGAAAAGGAGGAACCTGAGTGGTTTGACATGGCACTTCGCACCAGCCCTTGTGTACAGATGTAATTGTTGCGTTGAATAATGATGAGCAGCTACAGGATTTCCACTGATCTGCATCCTAAAAGTTAACACTTAGGTTGGGGAGGCAACTTTATGACTTAAAGGAATCTTGCGCGGAAAATTCTTGCACTCTTTCCTAACATGAATATGTCAGTTGTGATCACTGGAAATAGCACACAAAGTTTCACGCATGAAGATTCGGTTTCTGAAGAGAAACAAACGTACAAAAACTACACGTTATGGACCATCGAAGGACCAGGAGGCAGAGCCAGGCGAGGCATGGAAAGAAGACGGCGTTTGGCCGGCTACGTACCAGGCGACGCAATGAGAGAATCGGGTTAAAGCGCGCGATTTCGGAGAGTGGAGACAAATCGATCGATGGAATAGGATGGAGTAGAAGTGTAAGATGTGAATGCAACGAAGCAGAAGGCCAGAAAGAGCTTCTAGTGAATGCACTCCAAGAACCAAGTTTGAGCATCCCCGTCGCCAGCATTCGTGAAAGACGTCCGTGGGCAATTCGAACGCGTAGCAGCCTTTTCGAGTTTTCGAATTTCTAATCAAAACGAAAGCAATACTTCAGTTCTTTTCACTATTATCGTGGATAATGAGTCTCAAGCCAGTGATTTATGGCTGAAATAGAATCATGATTTTTCCGCGCAAGATTCCTTTAATTAATGCCTGGGATTTAAAACAGAATTGGAAACTACACAATTTTTTTGGTAACCACGCCATACCATGAAAAGTGGCCCATGACTTGAGAAATGG